GTTTAGAATATAGACATGATGCTTGTGCTCCTCCCTGTCTGTGATGAAGTCACTTCCCAGGCCCCTGTCTCTTGCTGAGGTTTCTGTAGGGCTCCTACAGGCCCCCTCTCACTGTGCTCTCTCTCCCAGCACAGAAATACACTGCTGAGTCCAGGAGCTGGGAGGCTGTGATGGTGAGCCCGATGGAGCTCGCTGCCTTCTGGAAATTTAGAGAATACCGGCCCTCTGTTGCATTGTGCTCACTGTAAGCATCCTGATGAATAAGGAGAATCATTTCCCTATTTGGTGTTGTTTGTACCAGAATAAGGAATAAGTAGGATCATGGGTTTCATACACACAGTCCATGGTCACAGCCTCCTTCTCCAGCACTGAAATTGCAGTGTGAGCTTGAGCTACTTTCTGAGCCATGCTGGTTCCTGCAAGAAAGAGGGTAGGAATAAGGCGATCCTTTATCTATAACCATGGGAGGATAAAGCATGGAATGGTTTAGACCCCAGCACCCTGGTTCTATTGCCCATTATCTCTCCCTCTGAGCAGCTTTTTCAGCCAACTGTTTGCTCTCCCTGTGACCTTCAGGGGTGGGAAGAGGCAGAGCCCTGTGCTTGTGGACGTCCTTACTAAGGCAGGTGGAGGTGAAGGCTGCCCCAAGCAGGCTGGCAAACAGCAGAGTGGTAGCTCTTCCCTCTAGTGAAATACTCTGTTCTGCATCAAATCCTGATCTTAATTTTCTATCTTGTGCTCCAGAGATAAAAGAAGATTACTGGGCTGTGTGGAGCATCTGCCCCAACAGGAAATGCAGTGGGCAGATATGGGATAAGTTTACCTGTGATCTGTGACACACTTCCTGTGCAGTTAGAGAAGCCAGTTGTGTCTCAGTATAATTTAGTGGACTGGAAATGATGGCTTTTAAAATTGAATCACATTCAGCTCATTCTTCTTTGATAGAAAAAGCAAGAAAGTGAGTCATACAATTTCTTTTGAATTTTAGAAAGTACACGGGAGAACACAGTCATGCACCCTGGGGTCTTAACATGTGCCTCTTTTTCTCCAGACAGAACCAAGGTGAAAAGTAACCACAGAATTTTTACTCTTTAACAAGCATGTAAAAGTTTTAGTCTCAGTCTTTATTCCTACCTTGCTAGTCATGGAATTCAGCAAAAGTTACATGAAAAATATTTTATTGTTAATGAATGAATTCCAATCATGCCTCCTGAATCACAACATTCTCAAAGTATATGGCATGTCAGGAAGAAAGATATGGCATTTAAGTTGTATCCTGATAAAAATTAATAAGGGAGAAGCATTCTTTTGAATTATGTGTGAAATGTCTTGATTGCTGTGTAGAAAGGAAGAATGGGGTCTTCAGAATCTACCCACGTGAGGACAAGTTAAGACTACTATAGTGTTTCAGTCTCAAAGACAAAGGTGACCTCTGTGAAGTCCCAGACAGATTTACCATGAAGTCCACCAAGCTTTTATTCCAAGAGCCTTGTTACCCCAGGTTCCAGAAAATAATTTCTTTTATATTTTTTAAAGCCCCCCCCAAATCAGAGCAGTGTCAGCCCCTAAAATCTGCTGGCACACATACCAAACCCAAAGGCATGGCAGAAGGAGAAAGGACAGCAGTGAGGATTCCAGGGCTCAAGAAGGTTAGGAAAACCCTCCTGGTGAGCTGAAACCCTTATGTGTGAGCCTCTTTGTAGAGATCCCTCCATTCTAGTCCTTGCTTTTCTTTGGGTGGACAAAGCTGTCACGCAGCATGACTGGCCTTGAAACTTTGGCTGCCAATCTCTTGATCTTTGGATGAGCTCCTCAGAGTGGGTCAGGCTGTTTTGAGAACATATGTGCCAGAACAAGAAATTTAGAAGGCTGGTTTGGTAAGTGCAGCTCAGTGTCATAGTATCTATGGGATCCCTCTTAAAAGTAGTAAATGGTTTGTTACTTTGACACTGAAAAAAGGGATAATCTCTAGTTCTGAAGGGGTGAAGGGTCATCCTAAAACCAAGGAATAGAGCATCTTAGTCACTGAATAAACATCATTCACAGAATATCAACACGATCATTAGTCCTGGACAGGAAGCTCACAGAGTGAGTGGCTGAGATTCAGCAGGCTGTTTTTTAGAGGTATACAACTAAGCTAAGAGCTTGATGCTTGATCTTTCTTTAAAGGGTCAAGTAGTAAAATATTTTAGACTTTGAGGTCATATGATTTCTATTGCAACTACCCCACTCTGCTGTTTTAGTAGCAACATAGCAGTGCTAAATGCATAAGTAAACAGGTATAGCTGTTTCTCTGTTTATTTATGAAACAAGAGACCTGCTGCTGTTCTCCTTGACTGCTGGTCTGTAGTTTTCTAGAACTTGCATCTCCCCTAGGATTTTTTCACCTATCATCAACTGAACTGTTTGGAACTCACTAAAACTTATTTTGTAGGGTTTTTTACTACATTATCAGAAGTCTTTGGGGAAACTAAAATGAAGGAAGTATGTTAAATAAGTTAATGAACATAAAAGAGGAAAAAGAGATTTGATGATCCTTGCAGAGGATGCAAAGATAATGTTCTCTGACATTAAAAAGCACAGAGAGCAAGATTCAGTACATCACTCTAGGAAGTTTTTCTGTACTCTAAGAGCAAAGGAGAGTCTCTTTGACTAGAACCATCAAATTTGTATTCTGGCAAGGTCACTGGACTGCAGTACAGAGAACAGCGTACCAAGAGCTACATTGAGGGGTGTAGAGTGTACCAAGTGTGCTGGGGGCAAGGGTAAATTATTAATTAAGGTGTCATGTTGAAGTAGACTGATTTCTTTAGAAGACTTTTAGAAAGCAAATTCAAAAGAACTGGAATACAGAATATATATATATCTATAATGAATGCCTGAAATCCAGATACATCACATAATTCCTAATATACCCTAGACTGTGGGTGTGTCAGAAACTGTGAGTTGGTTATTCAATATCCATTTTGTCCTAATTCTTACCAATGGAGCCCCAGTATTGCTGCAGGGAGCAACAGAATCAGATTTTTTAAAAACCAAATAATTCTGATGTCTCACCTCTGTTACAGACAGGAGAAGGATGGCATATCTGGTAACACTCCCATAAATGAAATGTAAGTGGAAGTTGTTAGGCGGAGCTTGAGTGGATTGACTTAGCCAGCAGGGACCCATTGCCTCTCTCCATCGCCTCTCTCAATGTTTCTTCCTAGAAGGTGTATGAAGTGGAAGGATCTTCAGCAATTTCTTCACAAGATGACTGACACCTCAAAGAAAAAAACAGTGAGCCAGAAAGACCCTCGGCTCCTCATATGATGAAGCTTGCTTTGGAGCTTCTTTATGTGAAAAAAAAATAAACCACTCCTTGTTTAAAAATATTGTTTAGGTTTTCCATAATACAAAGCTCAGCAAATTTCTAAATAATGAAAATGGTGTTTATTAAAAATACAAAGTCAGAGCCAGGTATAGTGGCACACACAAGTAATCCTAATACTCTAGGAGGGTTATGCCAAAGGTTTGCAAGTTTGAGCCACTGTTTCTTGGAAATGAGGCATGCAAGAGCCATTTCTGCAACTCAAAGACCCACCTAGATCTGATATAGACACAATAGAATCTTTTGACCCAAAGATGGTAGAAATGAGACTGGGGCTAAATATTGCAAACACATGCACAAGTTTTATTGGGGGAGAAGAAAAGGGGCTTAAAGTAAATTGGGGCTTTGACTGAACAACAGGAGCAATCTGTTAAGAGAGTGACCAAGATGCTGCTCACAGAACAAATAAAACAGCAGGTTTTTATTGATTTCTTGCCATGGGCCAAAGTCTGGTAATTATTATTGACCAGGAGCAAAATTCCAAAAGATGGTCAAGGCACCCTAGAAGCTGTTGAATCTTTGTGTATTTGGTTCCATCACCTTGCGTAAAACATCCCAGTCTTAACCTTGTACTTAGTGAGCTAATAGGCAATTGACTTTACTTAAGAACAGTTGTGTTACTCTTATAGCTGGTGCCATTGTCTTCTGTAAGTGGCCTGGCCTTACCATGGGGCTGTAGGATTTTTAGTGTTTTAGCTGCTAAAAAAGCACAAGAGTGGGATAGAAGAAACACATACCAGCTCCAATGGGTAACAAGCCAAATTAATCCTGTATTGTAGTCTAGGAAATAACATTACTTAAATAATCAACATGTCTCCAGGCAGAGATGAGTAGAATCTGACTTAGCAGGTAAGAAAGCATAGAGAACAGCCAAAATACAGATGCCATGTCTTTTGCCTCATTTCAGTCTCCCATCAGATATCTGCAGGCCCAAGTGAAGAGTCAGTGTTCCCAGCAAATGCAGCCTCAGGTCCATAAGAAGCAACCTAGGCAACTATTAGCACAACTTACATGGGAGAGGTGCTATCTACACCAAAGTCAGTGGGAAACTAATAATGTATCGCCTAGCTGTGGGGCTCCAAAATTAGTGATTCTAAGTTGACTAAGAGCAAGTGAAGCTAGATGATTTATTTAGATATTTTCTTGGTATTTTTTATGTAACCATTTTGCTTTTGTGCTTTTACCAGGCCTTATTGTGGGTCAATTGATATATGCCATGCTACAAAGAGAAGTCTGAGTTTATTTTGTCCCAGCCTTCTGTCCTTCTAACACTGTGCCACCATCATGGTCCCTATGTGTTTCAGATCTTTGAGCTAAGGAAGGGAAGGCCTTCTAATACTTAGCGGTTCTTTTTCATCCTCTTATAAGTGCCCAATGATTACTTTTTACTGCTAGAATTAGAGCATGAGGCTTTTTGTACTCGGTGATTCAAAGCTTTCATTTTAAATGACAAAATAAAAGGCTGCTACACTTATGATGAGCCTAAGCATATGTAGCCACGATGGGCAGAACCAAGCCTGGAATTTCAGTTTCCCATTCCAAGTTTCATCCCTTTTGCCCTACTCCAAGAATCTTCATTAAAGAATCACAAATGTGAAAGATTTCTGCTTTCACACTACCAGTAGAAACTTCACAGGAAGACACAAGCACCTATTCCTCCCACTGCCAATGCTTCCAGAGAGCAGCCTGGCAGGGTTTGTGTGTGGCTGCAGGTGCCTGCTGCACACCGTGCATCTGTAGCACAGAAGTAAGCAGCAGTGTCTTCAGCCCGGGCAGCTGTAATGGACAGGGAGCTGCTTTTGTTGGCCTTGTCAAGGGTGGCTGTAAATCTTCCACTGTGTTTCTCTCTCTCATTTGTTCGAATTAAAATTAGTGGGGTAGGCCCTCCACCTGTATCCTGTCGAAACCACTGCAGGTTGGTTATAGTAGTTTTGTAACTGCAGCTCACAGTGGCGTTTTCACCCTCCTGGATGTTCAGAGCCCGAAGAATCTCTTCTCCTTGTTGACTATTTACTCCTAGACAGAAGCACAGGCCAGAGGTAGAGATCAGTCACTGCATTTCCAGATTACAGTTCCAAATTTGCAGGATTTAACCTTTCAGTCACATGGGCGCTAAAATTTTTGGTGTCCTTGTTCCCCTCACCAATAACCCCCACTCACTGGACAGTTGAAGCCACAGGATCACCAAACACATTCCCAGGATTCTCTCCATTCTTCTTTGTTGGATTCTCAGAAGACTGAGCTCTGGGGCTTGAAATGGAGCCAGGTTCTTCAGTCGGGAGAGTTAGTTCCCACTGTATATATCCTTCCTGCCTCAGTCTTTTTATTTTCTTGCCTTGCCAGTTTGCTTTGAAAACACAGGCAAAGGAGAACGCGGACACACAAAAGAGATTTAAACCCAACAGTCTGAGTAGAGGACGGCACTGCCCTCTAGTGGTAGCAACATCATTCTGCCACTAGATTGCTCTAGAATGGGATAGTGTATAGAGCTGACTCAGAAGGGATTGGAGAGCTATTCAATTTCTACTTTACGGAATTTTGATTCTGGCTTAGGGTAAAACTGGATATAACTTGATTCAAGTAAGAACTATATGAAGAAAGAATGCTGAAGCCTAGCATTTTACAGGATACCTGATAAGCACCACTAGATTTCTTACAATTACTACAACTTCTGAATATCTATCCGTGAGCTTTCTTTCTTAAATATATTTTTTTGCTTAATGCAGAAATAAGGTTATATGTAAGTCAGAATTTTAATTGGTGAGCAATACAAATGGATTCTGATTTTATTGTGTAGAATAAATTAGTGAATAATGAGTTTGCCTCAAAATCCTCTGTAAAGGTTAAGAAACCTGACTCAAGTCTATTGAGTTAAAAACAGCATAGAAAATCACTCTAGAGAATCTCTCCTGCAAGGCCACTGGCTTTTTGTTTGAGCTTCAGGCTGCAGGTGGTGGACCATCCCATTCTCTCTGTTGCCATGTCATCTCTCCATTTTAGTGAAATCGCAGCCATTCCTCCAAATGAACTCTTTCTTGCAAAAATAACTCCTGAGTGAAAGTTGGGGAAGAATGCTGTTAGGGTTTGTATTTAGATGTCCCCCAAAGGCTTATGTGCTCATAGGTGGGGCTTTTCAGAGGCAGCTCGATCTATGATGTGTGATACTGGGATTAAGGATGTGTGATAACTAAATTTATTTAGTGTCGTCCTGAGAGTGGTTAAGGGAAACCCCACCCTGAGTGTGAGTGGCACCAAACATTAGACTTAAAACCTGAATGGAATAAAAGGGAAAGATGAAAGGAAGGCTGCTGGTGCTTGCTGCTTGTTGCTTCCTGGCTGCCACACCATGAACTGTTTCTGCTCCATGAGACCCTCCTTTTGTGCCACCCTACATTGGAGCCAGCTATGGACTAAAACCTCTACAAACTGTGAGCTAAAGTAATCCTTTCCTCCTTTAACTTTGGATGTCAGGTATTTTGTCCTAGCAACAAAAAAGTAACTAAGACAAATACCTCTGACTACTGGAGCCCAAGACTTTCAAGGTTTATTCCCTTAATATATAAAATTCTTAAGTGCTAACAGGACACAGATATATGTTGATATTGTCCCTTATCCTCAACCCTACAAGATGTTTGGTAAGCCCTCTCGGTATGACCCTCCACTATTTATGTATAAATGTTAGAAGCTCTCATCTTAGATGAACAAAAAGAAAATTACCTACTCCAAAGTGAATTAGGTTATTTTTCATTGAAATGGTAAATGCTAGAACAGGACTTGTCAAGAGGTGTGCCTGTGTCACAGAGGCATCTGAGTACATTTATAATAATACTAATGTATTGTTTGGGGTTTTTCTATGTTGACATGCACACTGATAATACAAATGCAACAGCTGTTACCTTAACTCAAATAAAGTCAGTGCCCCAAGCTGTTGTTTGTTGTCCCGCTATATGGTTCCCTACCTCATGCAGAAACCCATAATATACACTGGTACCTTGGTTCATGAACTCAATTCCCTCCTCAATTCAAATTTTCCCATAAGGTCAACATTGAACTTAACCATTGGATTTGATTTAGTTCTCATCCAACTCAGTTTGCAACCAGAATTGTGGAAAAGAATCAAGTTCATGAACTGAGGCACCACTGTACTTGAAAAAAAAAGTTTTGCATAAGAATATCCATTTTAATGAAGCAAAAAATTATTATTATCTTGCCCCTTATGTGGACATTTTTTTAACATGTCATGTAATGAAATAGGCAATGCTATGAGGCACCTCTATATTAAACTAAGTGTGATGGGATCGCAGGTGCAGCACTGCAGTATTGTTAGAGGTGAGAACTGCTTTGTCGTAGAACTCCAAAGTTTTACTTCGAAGTGTGAGTGCACAACAGCTAAATTGGATAGTTGCTTGATATTTTCTCAAAATTTAAAATGTGACCCAGCAACCAAGAAAACAACAGACTGGCTATTGCTAATGATAAAGTTTTAATATTCAAGTAAAAGTTAGAATTTTGAAAAATTTACATTTACTACATCTTCATGATTCTTAATGATTTTGCTGGAAAGACTCGTGATGATAGCAGAGGGTGAATTTTTTTAAACCATTTATTTTGGAATTATTATAGACTCACAGGAAGTTGCTAAAATTGTTCATACAGCCTCATGTCCTCTTTACTAGCTTAATCCATTGGTGACATCATGTAGAACTGAAGTTCAATATGCACACCAGGAAACTGGCATCGTTCAAATATGCTAGTGGACTATTTGTTTCATACATTGAGAATTGAGAACTCTTTCTTTAACTGAGGTATAAGGCCTCCATCATACATATGTGAATCAAAAACATTTTGTCTCGCTAAGTACATTGCCTCTTATCCTCTTAAATGCACCTTTCACAGTACTGAAAGTTTTATTATTAATTAGTCCAATGTATCTTTTTTTTTTGTAAGTTGTACCTTTATTGTCACATTCAAAAACTTGTCTAGCCTTAAGTCTCAAAGATTTTCTGCAATACAAGATTATTGAGAATTCAGTCCATTTGACAAGGAGGCTTTTGTCACTCCAACAAGTAGTCCAATCCACTGATGTTGCAGTTGAGGACAGGGGAGTAGGAAATAGGAAGTCCAGTGCAGGCACATGACCAAACCTAGAGGGAAGGACTGCTGGAGCTTTCTGTATTTTCTCTTTGCTTGCTATATGTATGTGTTCCTTTGTATATACTGCCATTTCCTCCCCCTATATATACTGGAGATTAATTTTATAGGTTTTTGTTATATTTTTTTTTATATATAGTACTACACTCAATGGAACTCCCTTTGAATTTTAGAATTGACTAACATAGCCAGAAACTCATGGAGAGACTGTTGGGACTACGGATTTCTTCATTTTGGACAAAGGATGAGAACTTTCTCACTTGTTCAAAGGACACTTTAGCTCCTTAAGTGGAAACAGAACTATTCCACCTCTGTTTGGATGTGCAATCGTGCATAGAGAGGTTCATGTGAAAGAGCAGTAGCCAGAGGGATGGGATGTTCCACTGACCAATTTATTGCATCTCTACTCCAATCCCCCCTTTTTTTGTTCTATTTGTGGTATTGGATGTGGGCTCCTTAAACATTTTTTCTTGTGCCAGCTGGCATGACATGAAGCTTTGTCAGTAGCCATGACTAGAAGGACATGGTGGGAGGAAGAGGGTTCCTATTGGGCTGGTAGTGTTTCCTGCCCTTTGCATGTCCAGGGTTTAGGCAGCCTGGCTCACACAGAGCACCCAAGAATATGTGCCTCCAGCAAATACAGTGAGAGCCCCATGGTGGTTTCTTGAAAAGTTTTTATGAGAATCCGAGGAATTCAGCAACACTCCTGTGGAATTCCTGCAAATCGTGTTGGAAGCCTGGTAGGTATTTTTTTTTGCCTGCTGGCTTTTTTTCTCTGGCTGCTCAGCAAATGTCTCCACTGTTCAGGGGTCTACGTGTACAGGTTCTCAATGAGATCTAAATCAGCCCTGGCAGGAGGGGTCCAGCTGTGCTTGCTCCAGTGTATTCCTTCCTTGGCTCTGCCTCAGTCCTTCAACGTGCTATTCTTATATTCTCTAGAGTTCTTTTCATCCATTAGTGAATACTTTTCATAATAGTAGCTAATACTCTAGTATTATCGAATAATTTTCTCATTAAGCTTCCCTTGTCCAAGTGACTCTGCCTGGTTGGGCCCTCACTGAGGTGGTTGGGTCTGTGATGGGCATGAGAAAAAAGACCTTGAATGCAGAGAGTTCACCGATCATAGCTACGGATCAGTACAGAACTGGAAAAGACCTGTGTGTGGGATGTGGTGACAGCACACCCAGGGTGGCTGAGAAGCAGAGCAGCTACAGAGGTGCGATTGTACCACTGAAGCCTGGACAGTCTTTCCGCCTAGAAAACACTGTGCTATATGGATTGTAGTATAAAACGTTTCCAAGATACTTCTAGAAATAATAAATGTACTTATTTTTTTAAACTGAGTAAACCAGAGTAGGTAATGAAAAATTTTGGAAAAATTGTTGAGGTCACAGTGAATCTAAGTGGCACTGATGACATTTTTATCTAAACGTAACCCAAACCTAGTTTTTCAGAAGGATTAGCCCTCCCTGCACAGTCAGAGTGCAGGAGTACTGGGCTGAGTTGTCCTCTGCAGCCCAGGGCTTCTGAAAGGTGAATGGACCCTGCCACTGTGGAGGGCATCCCAGAACCTTTTGGCACAGGCTCCTGGTGTCAGGAGGAGCTGTGGACGTCATCTGGGGCTGGACAAACCTGAACAGCACGGGGGTCACAGAACAGGAGTAGCTGCACCTCACCTGCACCAACCAGCACCTCAGCTGCCCACCTCTAAAGATGGAGATAAGGTCGTCAGGGTGAGTCATTATCTGGGTGCTTATTCCTCCGAAAACACCAACTGTAGATGAGGAAGAGCCCCACAGAAGACTGTGCAGAAGTTGTCGTTAAACTGACTCTGCCTCACAGCCTGCAGAAAGAATGAGAGTACCTTTTCTCTCCGAGTGTGAGCACCACCAGGAATGCGGAGATGGGGGTGGACCTCATTTCCGAGCAATGGGGAATCAGGGGACTACATTCTGGAAACAGTTCAGCAGGACACTCATTGACAGTGCATGGGGTGATTTTTACTGGTTGGTGGAACCAAACTGCGTCAGAGGGTCTGGGTGGTTTCTGCCTTTCTACCAAATTGAACTTAAGCAGCATTTCTTTCTGATACAGAAAGACACACTCAATACAGCAGACACACTCAGGCTTCAGGAAGCCTTTAAAGTCTCAACCAGAATGGAAATGGATTTCTCCACATTTAATAGCACACAATTTAATGACTACTAATTGAGAAAGAATGCTTTTAGAAAGGTTCACATTGGGCCAGGGATTTAGCTCAGTGGCACCGTGCCTGCCTCACAAGTGCAAGGTGCTGAGTTTGATCCCCAGTACCCCCCCACACACACACACAAAAAGGTTCACATATACAGTTCAAAGGAACAGAATAGAGTTCACTCTACAGGCAGAGAATTATAATGGTGATGTCCAGGGACTAAATGATGGGGTGGATGAGGAGATATAGGTCAAGGAGTTCAAAGTGTCAGCTCACAAGATGAATAAGTTCTGCAGATCTGCTGTATGACATTGGGCAGTAAACAATACTGAACTGTAGAATTCCAATTTTGTTAAAACGTAAGATTTTTAAATCTCATTATGTAAACCAAATCACAAATATATAAAGATTTTAAATATATTGGGGTTTTTTGTATAATTGTTTCACAGTAAATAAAAATGGCCCCTAGACTTGGATAACTCTATCAGAACTAATCCAATGTCTAGTATTATGAACTTTGGTAATAGAAATTTATTTTCCTATTAACTTTGTTAATGCACTTTAAAGAATGTAAAAAGAAGTTTGTTAAATGTGCAATTTTATGTGATGTCCTGAGTTAGTATGACTTCTTACATTGGAATGCTTAAGAGATTTTCAGGACTATCATCTATTTTAGTTTGTATCTGTTTATGGGGCAAGTGCCTCAAATTTTTGATGTGGAAATCACTGGAAAAACTGCTTCAAAATAGATTGAAGTTAAGTTGCCTTTAATTTTCAATATTTCATTAAGAAATATAGTCAGTTTTTCACTGTGCACAATGCTTAAACAATTAGAAATCTAGATATTTTGTGTATCTTACTTTAAAATTTGTCATCATGCAGTAGAACAAGATAATACACTGGAAGTGAAGCTTTACTCTAGGTTGAGAGTCTACTCTGCACTGATTGAGAATCTGTAACTCTTTTGTAAATGGGAAGAGGACCAAGAGATGAGGGGCACATGATGAATGTAACATTATGTACTGCAAAGGTATTCTAATAAAAATTAAAATTCAGAAATATAAAAATGAAAAATAGAGTAAAAACACAACAAAAAAAGAATGAGAATTCAAGCAGCACAGCTATCAAACAACATTACAACCTAGGGCTTCACTGTCCACTTGTGATAGTTAACTTTTGTGTCAATTTAAATAAAAAATCCCCAACCGATTGGATTAGCATAGTTCTGGGTGTGGCTGAATGGATTCACTGCAGATGGAAGACCCATCCTGGGTGTGAGTAGCATCAACCAATAGGGTTGTAGTCTGAATGGAATAAAAAGCTTCAGTTTCATCAGAGGCACTCCAGTCTTCACCCCTACCTTGATGCCCATCTCCAGGCTTCCAGCACAGACCCTTCAGCCTCCCAGCTCATACTCTTCAGCCTTCCAAAGTAGACCCTCCAGCTACCAATGGGACTCTACAGTGAACTCCATGTCTTCCACCTTTGACTGGATCATTCAACTCTCCAGCACACAGATAGTCTCTTTGCATTGCTTCACACCTGACTGTGCAGGTGGCCATTAAAATCCTTTCTTGTTAAAAAAAAAATATATATAGTATATATGTATGTATATATGTATATATGTATATATGTGTATATATGTATATATATGTATATATGTATATATGTATATATACATATGCACACACATATAAATCATGCTTCAAATTTTCCATATAAAACACATATATAGGGATAGACTATGTATAGACGTATCCCTGGGTATTGGTATTAGAGCACATTTTGTTTTCTGTTTTAATTCTGCACATAAAAATCTTTAGACGCTGTGGTTCTGGCGCATGCCTCGGAAGTGCAAGGACCCAAGTTCGATCCCCAGTACCAAAAAAAAAAAAAAGAAAGAAAGAAAAAGAAAGAAAGAAAGAAAGATCTTTAGACAATTGGGCATATAGCTTTTATAATGGAAAAATATCAATGTCTCACAGATCATAGTGCTTTTGCACACTAGCAAAATTAAAGTCAGTGAATGAGAAAGAGGTCATGAAATACACAAGCAAATTAGGTATTGAGTTGTTTCTTTGGGAATCTTCAATTGTGCTATTATAGTAATTAAAGAAAGTGACATGAAATTTAGGAATCTTATACCGACTTACCAGGCCAGTTCTTTTAATATTTATATGTGAAATATAAAACTTTAATATTCTTTTTTTTTTTTTTTTTTTTTGGTACCGGGGATGGAACTCGGGACCTTGCGCTTGCGAGGCAGGCCTCGGAAACACTGAGCTAAATCCCCGGCCCTAAAACTTTAATATTCTTAAATGTAATTTTCCATTCTTAAAAATGTAAGTCCAGGGGCTAGGGATTTAGCTCAGAGGCACCGTGCCTGCCTCGCAGCAAGCAAGCGCAAGGTCCTGAGCTGGATCCCTGGTACCGGAAAAAAAAAAAAAAAAAAAAAGTGAAGCCACATTTGCAATCATTTTCTGTATCTTCATGTTCAATATTACGAATAAAACTTTATATCTCCTTACATTTGTAAGGAGTGTCTAAGCAGTTTCATCATCCTGAGGTCACTTGATTCTGTGAATAATCAGTTAGTGCTATTATCTCTAAAGGGGAAGCTGGTGAATAACTAATGAGGCGCTTGAGGCCAGCCAGCCAATGAGTGGATGAGCCAAGATGCCCGACCCCTTAGCTTTATCTCCTCAATTCTTTTTAAAACAAATGATCCAACCACACATCCAATTGCCTACTTACAGTAGCCAGGCATTCAGCTTTCCTACCTGACTTTGAACCTCAAATAATAGGACTGA